GTTAAAGTGACCAGGAAAATTAGTCGATGTAATCAGGAAAAAATAGTCAAATTGATTAGGAGAATAATATTAGATTTATACTGTGTATCATAATTATTTGAAATTGCTAATCAAATTCTTATTATCAAATAAAAGAGAAAAACTAATTAAAAGAAAAAAATTAATTATTGTATTTGAACATATTTATATTTGACTTTGCATTTATATACCTTCGAATTAATTTAAACTTATGAAATAAATATTTGACGCAGGGGGGACGCGAACACCTGAACCTAACGAATACGCACTTTGAAATCCGGAACGATAACCACTACACTAAGCACGACTTGGTATTTTAATTTTTTAATAGACACTAGATTTTCGAGTCAAAATACAATTCTTAATCAGATGATGTTTTATACATTTCGAGTACACAATTTTATACACTTGTCAAAAACTATTTATTTTTAATTATTTATGACATTCAAATGAAAATAAATTTAAATACACAAATTATTGCGAAGGTAAATTTTCAAAAACACTGCGCGATTAAAATAGTAAAAATGTTGTCACCATGTGCGTAAAAATTTTGACGATTTATATTGAAACCTTACCAAAAAAGTCTGAAAGAATTGACTAATACACACTAAAAAAAAAGTTTTACTTTAAGCCCGTTTTCGAGGCTGAATTTACGGTGTAAACGGAGTCAGCCCCATTAAACAAGGACAGACTTATGTGAAATACATGGGCTGAATTTAAGGTGTAAACGGAGTCAGACTTTTTTTTTCCTGTGTATAATTAAATAGTTTACTTTCTAAAACATGGACTATCTATATTTCCAGAGGTTCCGAGAAACCAGCAATTTTGATGTATGTAAGAACTCCATTTTATGTACAAAAAATAGACGCGAGTAATGATAAAAAATCGTTTTACGAAATCACGATAAATGACGCGAAAGATATAGAGGTAAACACAGTCAGAACAGAAGCAGACGCGTGCGCATTATGGAAATAGGCAAAATTACTAAAATCCTAGTCAATTTGACTAAGATTTGCAGGGTTGCTTTTGCCAGGCTTGAATTTGTTGAATCAACCTAGCGATCCTAACCATAATGATTAGGAATCCTTATTACTTTTACTAGATTAAGATTAAGTATAGAGTCATACTTAATAATACTATCGAGATTTTTTCAGTGTAACGATTGGAATCTAGAAATATCGCAAACCTATGAAAATAAACAAAATTGCTGACGAGGGGAATGGAACCTACGACCTACGGACTAACAAACTAACGCTCTAACCACTATGCTAACGACACATGTGTACAGTAAAGTATTAATATCTCAGTATCATTCAGACATACAATTATTGAGTCAAAGATGAGAAAAAAATAGGGATACGTTAGAAATAATAAATTGAAATAAAATAAATTAAACTAAATTTTTAATAATTAAATTAAATTACTTTACTTATTGCATTTAACATTTTACGTAATTCTTAAATTACGTGGTAATTTTTAAATAATTTTTTATTCATAGTAAGATTCATAGTATTTTGATAGGAACCAAATTATTATTGAGATTAAAGTTTAAATTTTGTTTATAATTTTAATTTGTTTAAATAATTTATTATTTACAAAATCAGACAATTGTGTTAAATTGTTATTATTAAATTTAATAAGAATAAAAAATGAACAACTGAAAAGTAAAATATTAATTTTTTTCAATAAATTTATATTTATAAACATTTATAAACTTTTTTTATAATTTTTTTCAAGTTTATGTCAAAAAAGCAATGTTGGCAAAGAGCGTTGTGAACAATTTTTCTATACTCAGCCAGCACTTGCCGCCGTGGCTTGTCCAAGCTTTGGCGAAACAAAAATTCTGTACTGCGCCAGCACTAATTGTCGAGGCTCGGCTAGACTACGCCGAACAATCGTCTGAGTACTAAGCCAGTGGTGAACATCGGCACTACACTGGCATTTCCCATTGGGAAAATATGAAATTCTAATGCACACTTACTGTAATTGTTTATTATTTAATTTTTAAATGTTATAAACAATTTTTTTCTACTTCATTTACTATATTCATTGTTAGTCTCCATCTTTAATACAATTTCTTTAAGAAGAGAAATATTTTATGAATAATAACTATTTATAAATATTATTTACCATTTTGTTGTTAAATTATTTATAATTATTAATTTACGACTAATTAACAACAATACGGCATTTATTGCGGCAATATCCTCAGCCAGCACTGGCAAGCAGTACTTCGCCAGCGTTAGACAGCGTTATCATCCCAGAGTTATGCCAGTGCTGTCTCACAGAAAAAAACTGAACTCATTTTTGTTGCAACTCATTATGAGTTCGGTATCAAAATGAGTAAACGACTAACTTCAAGTTACTCAAAATAAGTCTTACCCGGATCAAATATAAGGTTATGTTAGTTTTTATAGAAATTGAAAATTTTAAGAATATTATGTTAATAATAATTTGTTAATTATTTTATTATTATAAAAATTAAAAAGATTATGTTATTTTTATAATATTTATAATAAAGATGTTTAATTCAAAATTTTTTAGTATATAGGAGATATTAATATGAAATTATAATTTTAAGAATCTTTTAAATATATTTTAAAATATATTTACCTCTAGAGTTTCACTATCTGAAATTTTATATAGGGTAACTGTACCAATTGTCGAGGGTTTTAGGCAACATGTGACTTTGACATTTTTTTTCTCGGAAGTAAATGCACTTTAAAATTTGATTTTTGTATATTTGGACAAAGGACCTAATAATGTTTAATATTCATATTTATTTTTTTAATATAAACTAAATTGTTAAGCAAAAAATATATTTAAAAGTCAATCGAGCAAAAGCACCATTTGTCGATGGTCTTGTGCTAATTTCTCGAGGGTCTGTTCCAATTGTCGAGGGTATGACATTTTTAAACATATAACCCAATAGAACCTAACAATTAACCTGTACAGATATTAGAAAATCGAGTAGATATTTATTTTTTCGATAAAAATATTATAGAACATTACCAGAAAACAAATATATTTATTTAACTATAATTGAATAATTTATAATATCGATATAAAACATTTTTATAGTAGATGATACAGGACAGAAAATTATTTAACTGTTTTTTAAACTTTTATAAATATAAGTTAATTAAATTTAATCAATTTTGTTAATCAGACATTAATTGAAAAAATAAATTAATTTAAGTCACATTAAATTTGTAAACGAATAAAATAAACTTTTATTACGAACTGTAAATATAATGGTTAATTATAATTAAACTATAGTACAAAATTTTTTAGTTTTAAATAATGCATTTTTTTATTAATTTTTTTTCGGTCTTCCTCGTTTTTTTGGTTGATTATTTTCTGTTGGTTGTAAATTTTTTGAGCATTTTTTTTCTTTTTCTCTGTACCTATAAATGTTTGGCATTTATGTTTGACGTTTAGTAAATAAACACTTAACCATCGATAAATGGTGCATCAGCGAAAAAAGTGACTACACCAATTTTCGAGTCATTTCCTCGAAAAATGGAACTGTCAAAAAAAGGAACCAAATACCGATGATTTGCTTTTAAAAAATATTAAATATTTTTTTTAACAAAAAAACATGCATACAAAATTAATTTAGTTCGTGTACAAAATTATAATAATAATTTTGTACACAAAAAGTCATTATAAATACGTTTAATTTGCATTTATAAAAATCTGTTTTAATCAACCTGAAGTATTAAGAAAATGGAGATTCGTGTAAATTTCACAGCAGTGAATTATAATATTAATTAAATAATTATTTTAGTAGAATCGCTACGAAATTTGTATATATAAATATACAGTTGAAAATACAAAGATTATTTAGAAATTTTTTTTGTTCTTAAATATTATATATTATACTATTTATCTAAAAAAGAAAATTATTATCCTCGACAATTGGAGCACCCTCGGCAATTGGTGCAGTTACCCTAATAAACTCTTATTATATTGTTGATATTACAGAATTTTAAATAGTTTTAATTTTAAATTTGGCGCCATTATCTTTGGTTTTCAGGTAGTATTAATATTTTTGTATTTTATTTTGCATGGTTGGTATTGATACTTCTAAATTCACAAGTTCTAACCTAAAAAAATTGTTTTCAATTCTCCATAAATACGATGAATCGGTTTAAGAAACAAAGTTTTTTCCAGTGCAATCTGTTTGTTTATTGAAAACAATGAATTTAATTAATATTTCTATGACAAAGTGATTGTTATTTCACTGTAATTGTCATTTTATCTTGAACTCAAAATGAGTCGAATCCGACTCATATTGATACTTTTTGCCTGAAACTCAAAATGAGTTGATTGGGATCATTTTTGTTGCAACTCATAATGAGTAACTTTTCCGACTCATTTTGAGTTCAGTTTTTTTCTGTGCTGGCAGCGTAGCTGCCCGTACTGCCAGTGCTGGCGCAGTACTCCGCCAGTTGTAAATTTCCCATTGGGTATACGCTTATTGAATCAGATGCATACTTTTAGCTACCCAATGAACGACTTTCCGCTGATTCAAGTTTAGAGAAAAATTTCTTGTAAAATATATATCATTATGAAAAAATACAAAACAAAAATATAAATTAAAAAATAAAAATAAATGTAAAAATTTTTGTAAATAAAATAAAAAAATTCAGAGAATTTATAAATTACGACAATTTTATTGTCAATTAATAAAAAAATAATTTGATATTGTACATATGTATCTGCTTTAATTATATATTATTAAAATTTTACAATATTAAAATAATCACGAGAAAGAAAAGCAAATAAAATTTTTTTTTAAATTGTAAAAATAGAAACAGTAAAAAAAATCATAAATTTCGATAATTTTATTGTTAATTACAAAAAGACATTTTGTACTATTTACCATTATTAAAATAATCGTATTAATTGTAATATTCTAAATAAGTAAATATTAACAGTAAAAAGAAATAGAAATTATAAAATAATTTTTTTTGCAGGTCGAAGGAAGAAAAAATTTAAATTAAACAAATTTGTTTTGCCATTATTGATTGGATTTCTTCTGATTAAGTCCATTCTACTACCGATTGCACTTAAATTCTTGGCAGTATTAAGTGGAAAAGCTGTTGTCTTGAGTTTGATGAGCCTAATTCTAGCGGCAATTGTTGGTTTGAGAGCAGTCGCTCAAAATCGACTGGATCAACGAAGTGATAATGATGTTGTGCAACTACCTCTAACTAAATATAGACGAAAAGATTTCGCCGATTTTCGAGATCATTATGAAGATGAGGAGCCCTACAGGTATTACAGAGAGCGACGTCGACGAAAGTGATTAGCTTTTCCATATTATTTATTACAAATGAATAAATGTAATTTTAAAAGTGAAATTAATTTTGACCTTTGCATATTGTTTTCGATTTAATAAACTGATAAAATTGTATACGAAAATTATTAGAGAAAAGAGTTAAATTTTTATTAAATTATGTAGCAGATGACATTGGAGGTCAGGAAAATAATTTTTGAAATATTTGTAAATTTTTTTTTTGTAAATGTGGAAAAAGAAGGTTTTATTTATATGTTTAAGACTTGTGAAACGAATTGTAAATTTTCTACTAGTAGTAAAAGTAAGTAAGAGTGAGATATTATAATTTGTAAATTTTTGTAATTTCTGTTTCGGTAATAAAGGACAGTTACAGATAGACAATGTTGATTTTAATATGCAAATTTTTTTTTTGTTATAGTAGTAAAAGTCTGTTTCAGTCCGACAGTGCGTTCAACATTTTATAGAATCAGTCTGGAAAGAATCTGAAAGTTTTTGACGAATTTTTTGACCTTTAGTAGTAAAAGACAGTTACAGACAGGCATCATTTTATTTGCAGTAGTAAGGGACAGAAACAGTCAGACAATGGAATTCCAAAGCATTTTTATAAGTAGTATAAATCTGTTATAGTTAGACATATTATAATGAAAAGAAAATTAGTGGTAAACGCCGTTTAAAGCCAGACAAATTATTTTTATATTATATTCTTGTAATTTTAGTTTCAGTAGTAAAGGACAAAAATAGTCAGACAGTAGTAAATGAAAATAGCGATTGACAAGAAAGAACAAAAATGCTAGACTTTTTAATTTAGTACAAAAATATATTGTAATATTAAGACATAAAACTTTATTAATTTGTTAGCAGAAATAAAAAATATTATTTAAACACTGTCAATTACACAGACATACAAAAAATTAAAGTGGTCTGCTTATTGAACCAGACCTTCATGTCTTATAGTATTAATGAAGTCAGAATTGCTCCATCACCCTCTGTTTTTTTTAAATCGAAAAAACTACCCTTAAATGTACAAATTCAAAGTTTAAAGTAGTAAAAAATGTAATAACAGATTGGTTTTTAAAACCGAACAATAAATTAATGTAGGTACTTCTCTTACAACTCAAAAACACTCCCATTTTTTGTTTAAATTAGAGAAAACTACCCTTAAGAGGATAAACTCAGACTTGACAGGAAAAAAATAATAAGAGATTAATTTTTTAAACGGAAGCATACGTTTCTGTACTTTTATTTTAACTGCTCAAAAAGGATCAGAATTGCTTGAACACCCTCCAATTTTTTTATATAAAAAAGTACCCTTAAAAGGATGAACCCAGAGTTTATTAGAAACAAGTTGTAAATCCAGATGTTCATTACATGATATGTGATGTAAATGTAAATAAACAAAAAATTTTTTAGTAAAAAAATTAATTTTTCAACTTTAATTGTAATTAATTCTATAATTTTCAATATAATATATACTTTATATACATCAATCGATTCGTCTTGATACAAAGAATAGGATTTTTGATTTATTTTTCAATAAATAATAACATTTTATTGTACAGCAACATGATTTTTAAGAAAAAATTAATTTTTATTAAAAGTGGAAATTTTTTGTCTATAATTGGTCCTAATTATATAAATTTAAATACAATAGGGTCAGTTGGGGTAAATAGAAACTAGGGATAAATCGAAACAGTAGTTATTTGAGTTAAATAAAAAATTTTAAAAGTATATACAAAAATATTTCCTATTGCATAAAAAATTGGAAATCAAAGAAGACACCCTTTCACTTTTCGACTCGCATTTGGAAAAAAATTAACTAAAAATTCATATTAAAATTTATAACTATCTCTTCTTAATACTACAACAAAAATCAACTTTGATTTTTTCATTTTGCAAACTTTAATTAAAAATAGGAGACTGTTTCAATTTACCCCTAAAAACTGGAAATTCGGGGTAAATAGAAACAGAATAATTTTAACAATATTTCTTATAATAGAAAGAGAGAAAATTGTTTCTATTAAACTACAACACTATTTTCAGCATTATATATGAGAATGAGAGAGAATAGAAGAGAAAAAGAGAAAACAAACCTTTATTTGTATAATGTGTTTCATCTTTTGGCTTAAAAATCCGACTTTTTTTAGAAAGATGCAATTTTCTTAATCTTTTGACCTCTATTTTTATTTTGAAAAACTGACATCGGATTTGTAATCAGGGACCTCAAAAACCCTCAAGTAGTCATTTTCATTAGCTTAGCCTTTTTTAATTTTCGATTTTGTAATTTTGTTGTAAATCTTGCCATAAACATTCTTTTTTCCTTCCTCATAAAGGAAGCTTTATAGTGATGTCGATTTCCGAATTTTTTAGAACCAATTATTTTTACAAATTTTCAAGTGTAGTATACATAATTCGTCGAGAGGAACAAATGTCCGGATGTATGTGTGTATGTATGTGTGTGTGTGTATATGTATGTATGTGTGTGTGTGTGTGTGTGTGTGTGTGTGTGTGTGTGTGTGTGTGTGTGTATGTCACCGATTCTTGTGGACAAATTTTCTCTTACACGTCTTGACGGATTCTGATAAAATTTTGTAGGTGTATTACGGTCACGAATACCAAAAATCAGACAAAAGGATTTTCAAAAATATCTAAAAAAAAAAAATTTTCAACAATTTTTTAATTTTTGAAAAAATTAATTTTTGGATTTTTTGAAATAACTTTTTTCTATATTAAAATTTTTATTAATTCTTGTCAAAATTGCATTCCTGACATAAAAACGAATCGATTCATGTATATAAAGTATATATTTTATCAAAATTTATAGAATTAATAAATATTTTAAATTTTCCCAAAAAATTGAAATTTTGTATTTTTTGACAATTTATCTTAACACTTTAAAATAATTATTCTAAAATAAAAAATTAAACAATTGGTATATATTATATTGAGGAAGCCTAATGATCATGAAATGAACAACTTGTTTATTATTGTTAGAATGAAAAAATTGTTAATTCTTTATTGTACTATAAATTTTTTTCACAAAGTGGAATAAATTTGTGAGTGTAGGGTGTAAGGTTTAATTAATTATTATATTTATTATATATATATATATATATATATATTTTATTTTTCATCAAATGGAAATAAAAAATATTTTAATTTTTGTCAAAGTTATGAAGGTTTGAAGTCAAAAGTGGTTTTGATTGAAACCGCTGGGCGTTAAAGGGTTAAACTTACGTAATGCATTATTATTTATTAGTTTGAATTATTTTATAACTAACATCATTTTTTATGTAATTCTTTTGTATCTTTTAACATTTCCATACTTGAAATTGATTTTTTCTTCAATTTTGTAAAAAATAATAAACTGTTTCTATTTACCCCTAAATTTTAGCAAAGTTGAAAAATTTAAGGGTAGGGGAGACTGGGGTAAACCCGCTCACTAGCGATTTGATGCTATGAACTCAACTTAAGATGGAGATATTGGTACTGTGAATAGTACTTAACATTCAACTTATACACTGAGAAAAATGGATATTAAAATTGTTAATATATTAGATATTAAAAATGAGATACTTATATATATTATCTAGATTTTAACGCTTAGTATATCAGATGTTTAGATTTAATATGTAGTGTATTGCAGAATATAACGTTTAGATATTGAACTTGACAATCTAATATATTCAAATTTAATATCTGTGCGTTGCGCAAGCGTAACGTCTAAGGCGCCTACAGCAGCCTACAATAAAGCAAAAGTGAGGTTATATTATCACCCTGTTTTGATGTGCGAGCATCAAAATGGAAAAACTTACGTCGTAACTGCCAGCGAAAATTAATATTTTTTAAGTTCATTAACAAAATTAAGCAAAAAATTAAACAAAATTACAATAATTTTGCAAGGAAATTATTTTATTAAAGTTTTAAAGTGGAGTAATTTGAGTTTCATTAGTTCACCGCGGCCACTAGAATTATTTATAAAAATTAAAAAATTGCTATAATTCTATTATTATCATTTATAAATATTAATTAACAAATTATGTATTATATCTGTAAATATATTATAGAATTAATTAATAATTATTAATGCACTAATAATGAATAGGAAATTATATGCGCTGTTGGCAAATTTTGAAATTTTAGGAATTTGATTATATGTTTAAGAATTTCTGTCAAGTTTTGAGCTCTACTTCGCGGTTTTCAGAAACCAAATGCTGTTTTTACCGCAAGATTTAAAAATAAGGTACATTTAACCTATAATTTGAAATGACGTTTGCGTATATCTTTAGATAGTAAAATTAAATATCCAAGATACTTGTCTTACAGTTCACTTTCATAGATATTGAATTTTAACATCCTGGATATTATAGGTTAATATATTGTGTCCAATATATTTAGATAGTGAAATTAAATATCCAAGATACTTGTCTTATAGTTCACTTTCATAGATATTGAATGGTAATATCTAGATAGTAAGCCTCAATATCCATTTTTCTCAGTGTATTAACGATCTTTCGTTTAGTTTCATGAATTAAACATACACGGAGAAAAATGGATAGTTAAAAGTAGATAGTTAGAAAATATATAATCAAATTTATTATCTGTATAGTCAGAAATATTATCTTCCTGAAATATTATATATTCTCGTTTAGTATATCTAGATAATCAAATTAATTATCCTGGATAGTCAACTTGCCGAGCGCTTGCGCAGAAGTTTGATTTCCGATCACACGCAAGAAAAACGGCACTGCCTGTTTCAAATGACGTGAAATTGGTAAACATTCATTTTCTAACAAATTTTTCTCTGTTCACAGGCACTTTTTACAGAATCTGACAACGTACATTTGTCACAAATGTTTTTAATTGTCTGAATTCAAAAGATTTTGTTAATCCATGCAGAAACGCGGTTGCAGGATTGGAAATAAAAAAGTAATGTAATGGCAGGCCACAAGACGTATGTTACAGCCATTTGACAGTAGAGGGCAGAAGCATGCAGGGAGCGTAAAGGCTCAGCTGTCAAAATGATTCGCATTACATTGCGATGGTAACTCCAATGCTGCAACTGCGTTTCTACATGGATTGACAAAATCTTTTCAATTCAGACAATTAAAAACATTTGTGACAAACGTACGTTGTCAGATTTTGTAAAAAGTGCCTGTGAGCAGAGAAGAATTTGTTAGAAAATGAATATTTACCAATTTCACTTCATTTAAACCGGTCAGTGCCGTATTTGTTGGGTGATAACTGATAACTGTTGGTTGCACATTATCGAGAAATTTAAGAGACCATCGAACATCGTTGTAGTTTTATATTATTATTCGAAATTTAAAAACATTGTCAAGTTTTTTTATACTGAATTTCAGATATAATATTGCTTAAAAAATATATTGTTAAAAAATATATAAAACTTACAATTAGCAACATAACCTTTAAACCTGTCAAAAGAATTTAAACATTTCAAGGGTACCGTTAAATTAATGTATTTTGTTTTTTAAAATTTTCAGATTTTCCATAAAAAATTATTTATCTAGGAAAAATGTTCACTAATTTCTAAATAAATTAACTTTTATCATTAAATATTTCTTATTGATCAATTCAGATGTGTATAAACACAGCAACTTGCGTTTATTATCTAGGAGAGTCAAATGTGAACATCTTGGATAATGGCAGTTAGTATGCAAGTTTGATTATCCCAAGATACTTAATTTGAATATCTAGATGGTTGTCCTGTAGTTGAGTATCCAAGATCATCACCCATGATTATCTAGATAATAAATTTGACTATCCATTTTTCTCCGTGTAGAATCAGGGGCGATCAAATGTTTTTCGAGGTATCAGAAAAAAAACGTTTTTTAGATTTATAAGTGTTTGGATCATTATTTTTGAGTCTTAATTTATTTGGCAAATTTTTTTTTGTTGCTATTGGGTATCTTTCTTCGAAGTACATATATAGTTTTGTCATATTTCAAAAAGATTTAATTAAATTTATTCTGAAATGTGAGGAATACACTTGGGGTAAAGTCGCTCACGTGAAGTCGGGATAAAGCCGCTCATTTAGTTTTAAATTAAAAATTGAGAATAAAATAGTTTCACGTATTATATTTTAACAATAACAAAATTTATGACTTGTTAAAACCAAAATTGTAACTCCATTTCACTTTCTCTTAATAAAATGTAACATTATTTAAATCCATAGTTGTAGGGGAGACTAGGTGCAGTTGTTACAATTTTGATCAATACAGTTACAGTGATTAGAGTTTAACTCCAATTTGTTTAGTCATACAATTACATCAAAGGTATACTATCCAATTTTAAAAGGCCATAATTGATTTAGCTCTATATCTATCTCCTTCTCCTATAATATTAACATATTCGTCGTCGTTTTGTCGTCCGTCGGTCGTGTAACTCCGTACTTCATCGTTCGGTCGTTCGACTTATCTTATTTATTCATCGTATCGTATATATACTGTAACGTGGTTTTTAAGAAAATCACGTTACTGAAAAACAAACCTGGGATTTCGCCGAAACTGTTTTCATAAATCGGGTAATTGTTAATAATTATGGCTTCCACCAGGCTCCAATTTATTTGCAACGACGAAAATTATAATTGTATAATTCATTCCAATAATTTTGTTTATAAAATATTATCATCATCGACGATGAAATTTGAGACGAGTTTTGTTTTCTTTTAATAACTCTGTTTTCTGTAATTCGTTTTTTTGTATTATTTAATAATTGAGAATTACAAGGAAAACACAGCGCAGTATTTGACACGACAATGGAATGGACCATGGAAACTGCACATTCATCTTAGTCTCCTGGAGAACAACGACGAGATCCAGGAGGTGTCAAAACAAATCAACAACTAGCAGACGACAGGTTGGAATCGAGCGAAGTGAAGTTGGTATTGACGGAAGATGGTCACTAATCGATGAAGGGACCTGATGGTCCCTTCATCGATTAGTCCATTCCTAAGGGCCCGTTTACATGAGAGGGGTGCACACATTGTTAATATGGTGTGCCACCCCCTCCCGAGATCAAAGGTCAGGAACTGAGAGTCAACTAGTATCGTCTTCAGGGTGTAGGAGGCGTGCACAAATCACCTGGGGCACGTCCTCCTAGAAGATTTGCAAATACAAGACGGTGGACAGGGACTATCAGCGCCGCGGTGGATATTAGTACTTCGGAGTTTCCGCCGCGGGCCCGTTGTCCAAGCGAAGTGGGCCGCAGCTTACCAACCTCACTTGTAACTAAATCGAGTCCAACAGTCTGGTCGAAGCCGTGAATGGAAGAGAGCTGTTGTTGTCAAAAAAAAAAGAATCAAAAAGTTTAAAAATGAGTTTCCGAGACGAGGAGAGTCGTCGCCTCGAAGGTTCGTGGTGTTAGTTTTCTTCCCAGGATCCATTGTCGTCGACGGTGCTGTGCTGTGTCGCGAAAAGATTTAGTTAAAATTGTAAAAGGTTGAATAGTGTAAATTTAGGTTAGGATTTGATTACTTAGAAATTTTCATTTAATTAAATAAATTTAAAATATGTTTGCAGTGGTGAAATTTATTTAAACAAAACTTAAGTGTCAAATCTCTCGCTCCTTTCCCCTTGAAACCTACCCTTTGAGGAAAGAGTCGAACACGAGGCCGAGCATTTAAAAATTATTGTCCTACCGGAAGCCACGAGGTCATCGCAGTTCCGGTAGAAATATTCAATATTTCTACCTGGCGCCGTGCGAATTTCGCAACAGAAAGGAACATCGTCGAAGGGGTTGATCCGCAGAACTAAGAGAATTCAGCGGATTATCGTGAGTGGTCATTTCGGGGTGGAAAATCGCCAAGTTGTATCTTGGAAAATTTCTTAAGTTCGGCTTGGTCACGTGATCAGCTGACCAGGCCGAAGCGCTAGAGAATCCAAGCATTACAATACATACTCATTGTACACACATATACGCATGCGCAGTAGTGTTCTGTTAATGTCACGCATGCGCAGTAGTATTCTATCAATGTCAGGCATGCGCTGTAGTGTTTTGTGAATGTCAGGCATGCGCAGTAGTGTTCTATCAATGTCAGACAGGCGCAGTAGTGTTCTATAAATGTCAGGCATGCGCAGTAGTATTCTATCAATGTCAGACATGCGCAGTAGTGTTCTGTCATTATTACGCATGAGCAGTAGTGTTCTATCACCATAAAGCATGCGAAGAACATTCAGAACTTTAAAATTGAATTTTTTAATCCATACACAATCTAAAAATTATTTTTCTACAATACAAAATTCCCAAAGCCCAAAATGTCCAAAATATGAAATTTCCAAAATAAGAAGTGTTGAATTGTACTGTAAGTAAAAAGAATTTGATTATTGAGTATTGAGATTTAACAATTCTATTTCTGTGTAAGATATTTTTAAAAAATCATTATTGTCAATGTTTTACTAAAATTTAAATAACTTCTAAAAACATGAACACTTTTAATGATCTTAAGCTTACTTTAAAGGTTATTTTCTACAGAATAGGAATTACTTGTAGACATTAACGTGTAAATTTTTCTTAGAAATTGCAGGTCGGCAAAGTTATACACAAAAATTTAAATTTGAAATAATTTTTTTGAACAAAAAACTATTCTTCAAAAAATATAAAACATGATATGATGTAGATTTTTCAAGAAAATTTAGTAAAAAAATATGTTTGAATTTTAAAAATTATTTTTCTGTTAACCCGTTGCCTGTTAACGACCGTTGGGTAGTAAACTTCTTAGCGCAAAATAAATGCAATTTTTTATGTAAATTATAAAATAAATTGTTTTATATCATTATTGGGAACAGAAATCGTGACGTCATACGACGTCAAAAAACCAGTATGGCGGACGCATGTGGGTCGATTCATGTTTATACTACATAGTAAAAGCGTGTTTGGCGTGTTATTAATTCAATTTGTACTTATATTATATTAAAATGAAGTTAAGCATTGGTGAAATATGTAAATTTACCAATTCTACACCATCCTGTAGAAATTTTATAGAAGGGGAGCGCATTTTACATGCCGGACATGTAATAAATTGTGCGCGACAAAACAGTGCAGGAGTAGACATAAACATAATTGCATTTTGTATGCAAACATCTAATTTAAAAAGTGCCCCCCACGAAATAAAAGCTAAAGTTGCTTTTGACAATACTATTAGCGACATAACCTGTAGTTGCAAAGCTGGGTTAAGCAAAACCTGCAAACATTCAGTTGCTGTTTTACTCTACTTAACCTCGTAAGTATATGTATTTCTTTTATTTCAACATATTAATAATTAATTAGCATAATGAGTGTAATAAAAATTGCAGTTTATTAAAAAATAATATTTTTTTAATTTAAAATATTTTATGTATGTACGTTTATTATTCTTAAAACGCAAAATTTAAGATTTTTAGTTTAGGAATGTTTACAGATGTAGAATAGAATATAGATATGGATAAATTAATTATTTGTTTTAATTCGTTAATTAAATTTTTTTTTTAATTATCTTCTGCATAATAAGTTCTATTAAAAATTAATTGTGACTAATATTTCAGATATGACATACGAGAATTGGAAATTGCAACCTGCACAGACACAAAATGTCTTTGGAGTTCACCTCACACAAAAGTTCTGGAGAATTATGAACCAGCTCCATTGAAAAATCACGAATGCTTCGCGAATGCTTTTGATAAAGAATATGAAATAAATATCACAGATGATGATAGGGACGATATCAAAAGCATGCTATTTAATTGCAATCTTGAATCGGCTCTTTCCAAACACATGTACGGTTAATTTTAATTTTATTAATTTCAATTTAAAAATTTTTATACATTTTTTGGGACTTTTTCCTAATAATATTTATGCAAATTAATTGTAAATAGTATTTCTGTTTCAGCAAAATTGTACATAATAATTAATTTTTTTAGATTTGTTGAATTTTTTATCATAATCAATTTTTTTTTGAATTATTACATTCTTAAAATAATTATTTTGTGAATTTATACTAGGTTCGGACGACATTCTCCGTTACAGCAAGAAATAGATTTGAATAGTAATTCTGTTCACTGTAGTTCTTCTGAGATCAATGCAATTTTTGAAAATGCAATATCTGATATAATGAATATTTTATCTCGGGAAAAAAATAACCTTTTAATAAGAGACTGTTGTAAATCTTTTTTTGAAAACCATTTTAATGTGACTGATTCTGAGACTATTTGTAACGAAACTTTGTATGATTTAATGAAATGGAAAACAGAACGTCAGTTTAGAATTACAGGTTCTAGATGTTACAAACTTTTCACGTACACAAGCAATAAGAATCCAGATTGGAAACATAAATCTGTAAATTATTTTTTTCCTAAGCCTTTTAAGGCCACAGAGCCAATTAAACATGGCCTGATAAAGGAACCAATTGCTCGAGAAGAGTATGAAAAATTTAAAGGAGTAAAAGTAATAAAATGTGGTTTAGTAGTTCCGCCACAAAATAATTGGTTGGGTTACAGTCCGGACGGAATAATTTTTGAAAACGGAAAGCCAACAAAATTAATCGAAATTAAATGCCCTTTTTCTGGCAAAAGTAAAACGGTAGAAAATATTTTAAAAGAACTGAAGTATTTACAACTTCCAGCGCGTAAACTCAAAGAAAAGCACGAATATTATGCTCAAATTCAAATGGGCATGGCTGTTTTGAATGTAGAGAAAACCGATTTTATTATTTTTGCTTCATTTGATAAGAGTTTTATTGTAATTACAATAAATTTGAATCGGTCCTATGTCGAGAAACTTTTACTCACTTTAAAGGAAACTTATTTTACTCGCATGATCCACTACGCATGTGAACGTGAAAATATGTAAATTAGAAACTTAGAGTTGAAGTGTAATAAAATTCTATATTAAATATACATTTTAATATTATAATATTAAAACTATTTATAACATATATTAATAAAATGTTTTTTCAGAATATAACTTTCATTTTCTTTATATACTTCCTTAAAAGATAAACACTATTTTTGAAACTTGTCATCCTTTAAAATAGGGGCACTCAAGTTGATTACAGCCGCTATAATTGTCATGATATGTTCGCTCTTTTTAACCAAACAGCTTGGCATTTTACTTCCAAGAATTTGGAAAACCTTCATACGTTGATTTAACCTTTCAACATGTACACGAGCACTAGCTATTCCTCGAGTGTCCAGAGCCTCCGTTTCTGAAAATTGAGCTTTATTGCGAAGAAAAGGCGGTCTTACAATTCGTATTCCATTTTCGAAGCAAATATCGTCGATATTGAATCCCTTGTCGACCATGATGCTGGAACCGGTTCCTATCGTTTGAATGATATTACTTTGTTCAAAAATGGCCTTATCGGAGGCTCGTCCTCCGTATGCAGGACTGACATATGTAAGAAGTCCACCTGGTGAACATCCTGTCAAAAATTTGACTGTATGTCGACCTTTATAAAACGAATAGGTTAAAAGTTGATCGCATAAATTTTGAGGCCTCTGGATTTCAATCTCAGTGCAGTCTAGAATGAGGCAAACGTTTGCATATTCACGAAAACAAGAAGGAATATTTTTCAATATCTCTTGTTTAGATGGAAAGATAATTGCATCTTTTAATGCATTACCTAAAATGTCTAAAATGTTGCATATAACATTAGGAATATGTCTCTCTGAGCAAGATGGAAATAAGAGAGCTAAAAATGCATAACTTACATTTTGTTTTAATTTAGTAAAAGTTAAAATAACTCGATCCTGAATCGTTAACTTTCCAGTATATGAGCGTAATATAGGCGCAACTTTTTCAACAATTTTGCAAAGTAAATTTAAAATTTTGAAACTGGGTATGCCTGTCGCAGTACTTAACTCTTTATCTGTCTTAATAAAATTGCTAAAGTTATGCTCCACTAAGTCTCCGCTTTTCACTGATATCCCGACATCTACTTTCAGAATTTTTGTAGGCTCAGTATCTTTATTTTTTTGACTGACAGTTGCTATAGGAACTTGATCCAAGGAAATCGATAAATCATTAAACTCATCTACATTTTTCTCGCCATTTTCACTGTTGCAAAGTTGATCATTGTCTTCGCATAATTTAATTGCTGCATCGTTTTTTAATTTATCTCTATTTACAATTCTTTCTTCTCTCACTTTATTTTTTATGATTTTTTCTGCATTTTTTTTGCAGAATTTACTGAAGAATTAGGTAGATTGCATGAAGGTACTGCCGTAAATTTTAGATACTTTCTTTCCTTTCTTTCTCCAACTTGTCCTACAAAATATGCAACCTATTATTTATTAATTTTCGTAAAAACGGTCAGTAATTAATTAAATATTTTGTTAGTGTTTTGATTTTTTTATACTTTTATAATATTAGTTTAATTTTAGTAAATTATCTTAATTAATAAAATAAAAATAAATTATTATAATTTATATTGATAATTATTGTATAAATAATATTTTATAATAATAATTACCTGTGGAAAAATAATCAGTCTCAGAGAAATGCAGCGAACAAACACGCATATTTGATGTAATTTTTTTCCCCATTCTCAACACCTTTTCCCATTCAACTCTTCTGTCAACCACTTGTTCAATTCCGAATGAATTTTTTATTTTTATATAGTTTTGTTTGTAACCTGGAAATTTGTGAAAACGAACTTCCTGATCGCGGCAAGCTTTACTATTACACCCATATACCGAACAATACGCTTTACTTTTCGTATTTCTGTGAAAAAATCTAATCCCACTATTATCCATTTCTCCTTTAAGATTTATTTCTGTCATTAACAAATTAAATAATATTCTTTTCTAATTTATATAAGACGAGTATAAACAGAAATGTAAACAGACATTTGACAGATAACCCACATGCGTTAGTTTACTTTTTCGCCAGCAGAGTGCGTATTGGAGTTCTGCGGTTCCCAATTAACACACTATTGATTACAATGATCCTAAATTAAGTAATAAATAAATTATTATTTATTATTTTTAAATAATATAACAATTTAAAAACAAGTAAAATTTATGAAAATTTATTTTTAATTTAAGTCACATTTAGTGTATAAGGGTTTTTGGAGTCGGTGAATTCGAATTTGACCTTAATTTTAAAAAATTCAAAATGGCGGACATCATTTTTGAAATTTATTTGGGTTTCTATCAATTTTAGTACCTAAGGGTTTTTCAGGTCGCTGAATTCGAGTTTGACCATCACTTTTAAAACTTCAAAATGCAGGATCCAAATTGGCGGACATACTTTTTGAAATTCATTTGGATTTTTATCAATTTCAGTATCTAGGGGTCATTTTTCATTTTTAAAAATTCAAAATAGTGGACATAATTTTTAAAATTCATTTGGATTTTGATCAATTTCAGTATCTAGGGATATTTTAGGTCGCTGAATTTAAATTTGTCTTTCAAAATAAAAAATTATGAATTCAAAATGAGGGACGTAATTTTTTTAATTCATCCCGATTTTTATCAAATTTTGTACTCTATTCTATATTTGTTGCATTAGCTGATAAAACGAATCATGACCCCAGAATGTGCCGCGTGGAGGCTGCAAAGGTTTTACATTACACTTTCTGTTCTTTGTTTTTTTTGTTTATAATATCTGTTTAAAATTTAAAAATTTTGTCCGACATATTGGATCCACCATTTTGAATTTTTTTTTGACGTCATATTTATATTCAGCGACCCCAAAAACCCTTGTATACTAAGTTTCATAAAAATTCATCTAACAGAGTTTGCTGAACATTTTGGGCCAATCATATGATTATTATTTTTCCAAACAGCGAAGGGGTTTATAAGTTTGTTTCAAATTTTTTAAATTCTTTTGGTCTAAGTTTGACAACCTGCATTTTCTAAGAAAAAAGTTTCGTATATTCGCATAATTCAAGTTATTTGAGTCAAATAAATATATAGATAAAAAAAATTATTTGAATGAGATAATTTTTTTTAGTGTGTTAATACTTTAACGTATGCAAATGGAAGAACATTAATTTATTTATTATAAATTTAGTATAAGGACTACATAAATAATTATTTGACACAATTAAAGAGATATTGCTAAATTAAAATAATTAATTATGAAAAATAATTGCATATTTGATATAAATAAGGGAAATACCACGTCAACACGGACAGAACTCTAAACAAAAATTGCTTTGATGGATTTAAACGTTCTAGGGCTTAAAAGATTTCTACACTCATGTACTTTAAGATGCCGATGGGCGTTTTTTGCAAATTTTCATTTCCGAATGCCAATAGAGCTGTCAAAAGTCAAAAGGTCCAAAAATCTCAAAATACTTTTATGAATTAAAAGCAAAAAACGGGGTAAATTATTTTGTAACTCATTCTTTAACAGTTTTTAGGGTCCCCGAATATAAATCTAAAGTTTTTTTTTTAATTCAAAATGTCGGATCCAATATGGCGGACAAAATTCAAATTTGAACAGATTCGATTAAAACTTGTTACTCGGGGGTTTTAAGGGTCGCTGATTACGAATCTGAAGTCACTTTTTAAAAATTAAAAATAGCGGAAAAAATTTTCAAATTTGATTCGATTTCCTTAAAACGTGTTACTCGGAAGCTTATGGGGCAACAGATTACAAATATGAAATCACTTTTTAGAAATAAAATGAATTTAATTTCTACAAAGTAACTTTATATTCATAATCTGCGACCCCAAAAGCCCCCGAGTAACACGTTTTAAGGGAATAGGATAAAATTTGAAAATTTTTTCGCCATATTGGATCCGCCATTTTAAATTTTTAAAAGTGACTTTACACTACCGGTCAAAATTGAGAGACCACCCATTTTCAGTCGAATGAAAATCGTTTTAAAACATAAAATTTATTGAAATTAAAATTTATTTCTGCTCATTTTTTTACCCCTTGACTGTGGATGACGTGTATACACCCCAGGTGCGATTTTTTGGTCGGCCCATAGTTGGGCCAACTTTTACAAAGTCGGTCCAACTTCTCGTGCCAGAGGTTGGGCCAATCATACAGATGATAACGGTTCGCCGTCTAGTGGCGACGATGGTTGGCCCGACAACTCATAAGGAAGTTGGCCCAACTTACAATGCATATGTTGTGCCAACTATACATTTCAATGGTTGGTCCAAAGACTGACGCCAAAGTTTGCACAACTTTAGATGCGTAAGTTGGGCCAACCACAATTTTCAAAGTTTGGCCAACTTCAACAGCCAAAGGTAAAAAATTATTAAAAAACTAAATTATTTAAACAATTAACAGGTTATTATTAGCGGGAACATCAGATATAACCTTTACCTATTATTATTAAACACAATCTCATACATGGGTGATTCTCCGCGTAGCGCACGATTTGGTTTATGAAATTAAAAAAAAATTTTTTTATCGTTATGGTTATTATCAATATATTTTTTTTAAGATAAAGGCTTTAAAAAAAAAATCCATAGCGGGCCGGAAAAATTATTTATAATTTTTGTTGTAAACAAGTGTAGTAATTAACTAATTCACTGTTTGGACACATTCTGTCAAAAAAAATTTTGCGGTAATTTAAACAATATTATAGAGTAAATCTCATTTAAAAATTATTATTTTGGTAATTTATGGTAATTTATGGTAATTTTGGAAATTTTTGAAAATTTTCGCGATAATTCATAAAAATATGTAAAATTTCAATTATTATTAATAATTTGGATTTTGGTAATTTATGGAAATTGTCGCGGTAATTTATGGAAATTTATAAGGTAATTTATGGCAATTTGTAAGGTAATTTAAAGAAATTTTGTCGGTAATTTTTAAAAATATGCAAAGTAGAAATCACAATTGAAAATTTTTATTTCGGTAATTTATGGAAATTTTTGCGGTAATATATAAAAATTTTCGTGGTAATTTATGGAAATTTATTTAAGTAATTTATGGTAAACTTTCCTCAGCTATAGGTTTTTTTTATTCCTTATATATGTGGCACCAATATAACACTACATTTGCACTAGGTTCTTCGTAATACGAAGGTCGGTGGAAATTCTGAGGTCGGTGGAAACTCAGGCTGGTGGGAACTTTTTCAACCGACTTTCCCGAGTCAAAATTTAAGCCCTACTTTCACCCTGAATTTTCAGGGTCTATTGAGTGTTAGGAGTAGTAAAGTAGGGTCTAATTCTAATACGATTAGACCCTACTTTGACTCCCAAAATAGGCGGAAATTTGCCAATCTTCCATTTGGAGAAGCAAAGGAGGGTCTACTTCTAAGAAACCTATACCGTACTTTTAAACCTCGTAGACCCTACTTTCATACTCCTAGACCCTACATTCTAAAAGAAAATTTTGAATTATTTTCTAATGCATTACTTGAAACACTGCAAATGCAAAAAGTACTCCAAATTCATAAATACTGATGTGTTTTACTCATCCCTAGTGCTTCAATTGAATCTGAGCAAATCTTCAAATTTTTCTTTTTCTAATTGTAGGGTCTAGGAGTATGAAAGTAGGGTCTACGAGGTTTAAAAGTACGGTATAGGTTTCTTAGAAGTAGACCCTCCTTTGCTTCTCCAAATGGAAGATTGGCAAATTTCAGCCTATTTTGGGAGTCAAAGGAGGGTCTAGTTTTTAAAAATTGTATTGAAATCAGACCCTACTTTACGACTGCTAAACCTGAATAAGCCCTACATTTTCAGAGGCTAAGTAGGGTCTAAATTTCGACTCGGGTTGGATATTTTAATTTTTTGAAAAAAGTATCATTAATTTTCAATCGGTTTAAAGTGGATCTCATTCGTATTGACCAAAACAATATAACTACGCTTTATTTAACCTTTTTTATAAATAATTGTTTAATTTGTGGTAAAATATTTAAGGGTCGGTGGAGGTCGGTGGAGATTATTTTGTGATTCCCTTATCAAATTTCCAACTTAAAATGAGTGAAAAATGAATAAATCAATTAGAACATTGATTCTTTTTCCTGAATTAACTTAAGGAAGTTATTTTTTGTGGTTACAAAAGTAATTTTAAGTTAACATTTGATTTTCATTTAAATAATTCACTGTTTGTTAATAAAATAATGAATAGCATCCAAATTTGCTGTCAAGCATAAAATGAAAAAAAACATATATAAAATGAATTTAAAAAAAAAAAAATTTTTTAATCAACTGTACTAAAGTAGAAGATACTAAAATGTCAATAGTAATTGTATTTATTATTGCATATTACTAAAATTATTAACTTTTTTTTCTAAACTTCCTGTGGGGACAGGTATAATTTTGACGTTTTAAGCCTTAAAACCGCTTATTTATGAAAAATTATAATATTAGATACAAAAGTAATTATTGGTTTTTGTTTCTAAACATATAGATAACCTTTTCACGTTGGAATTGTAAAAATATATGAAAATTATTTATTATTTTTCCATTACAACATGAAAAAAACCAAGTTCTGCGCTTCGCGGAGAATCACCCACATACGTTTTCAAAAATATCTAACGCTCGCTGGGATCGAACCCCTAACCTAACGCACCGAAGACTTATACACTGACCACTACGTTACGCTCACATGGGAGTGCATAACGCAA